TGTTAAGCCATGCAGGGACGGCACGGAGGAATGGGGGAGAGGACCGTTCACTTGGCAGGCAAGGATGAAAGGAAAAGGACCTAAGCCTGGGGAAGAAAGTGGAGAGACCAGAAGGATCTGGGGAAGAATATGATTGGTAGGCACTTGGAGAATCAATCATCATTGGGAAGTTAAGTTAACTTAAATTACTTATACTTAACTTTTACTGCATAATTCTAGTTCTACTATGTACAGAGTACAATAAGCTTATAACCGGTTTCCGTGCTTGCATCATTTCATCTCTATCTTTCTAGGTCCTGTGGACAGTAGACTATACGGAAAATTTATTGGACTCTGTTTGGGAGACATTAAGATTTTCCATGATCATCTAGTAGAGTCCACTTTATTCCGTACAGGGTATTGAACTACTATGCTATGCATGATATACGGGTACTGTGTATATGTACAGTACTTTAGTGCAATGGTCAAGTCGGAGGTAAGAACAATACTTCTAGGTAGAAGATACTTTGTTGGGACCGGTTTATTCGGTGTTAAATCCCGGTACCAAGTACCCCTAGCCGAGACTGCGTCACGACCTCGGTCTAACTATGGAATGCATTTTTTGGCCTTAGCATACCAATTGTTGCCAATGTACGGGGTAACGGATTATGAAATCATTCAATCATTATTCTATGGATTCACTCAGAGTGGGAAAAAGTAAGGTATATAAGATTATAGACTCTAAGTTTAGGCTTATATGTCCGGACAGGATTACGCACCAATGAATTCATCGTAAGATCAAATTCCCATTTCATACATCTGTGCATGGATTACTCCGTACAGAACATCTGATGTATTATGTATTTATTATATATTATATATTATCTATTATCTATTATCTATTATTTATTGTTATTTTCTTTTTCTTTCTCTGTGATATTCATTTTCCCCCCACTTAGCGTAAGTCTCGCCTAAAATATACCCCCTTTTGCCCCTTTTTCAGACCGGATGCGAAGCACGGATACTCCGTACACCACTAACAATGCACCTTGAACACATATTACCCACTAGTTACGGGTATACGGTGTACGGAGTACCATACACCGCATGGAGAGACCGTTGTCCAGGTCAAGTCCGTGCATTGTGCTCCGTAACCATTGTTTCAAGTTTCGGGGAAACGGGACGAAATACCATACTCAGGGTGACGTGCAAAGAAAGAGGTTAACATCGACACTGCACAGCCGCGAACCAGCTCGACTAGACGTGCCGTGTTCTCTCGAATAGGCCATCAGTCCGGAGGGGGAACCTAGATCGGCGCACCAGACTCAGACTGTTTTACTCTTTATTTTCTTTATTTTTATTTTTAATTTTTATTTGTCTCGTAAGCCCCGTGATATGCAAGAAACTAGCCCTGGAGAGATGCAAACTTGTCAAGCTTCATCTCCACATGTGGCTCTGCGATAGGATCTACGGCTAACGCTAAAGACTGACACGGTGGAACCCATGGATGCCTGTAGACGTCTCTATTCCAGTCATTTTGCCCCTACTCTGTACGGAGGTTCCGTACTGGCTTGGGATTCGGCCCGGGGCAAAGGTTTCCCCGTTCCAATGCAGACTAATGTATATACAGTTTAGCCAGGCGTGTTGATGTCGTGGCAACAAGGTAGTATTGCAGCAGAAACTGTGACAGGGTTCTTTGTTTGGGAATAATAATATCATGCAAGATCCCATTAAGGATCCGTGGACGATATGTACTCCGTATATTATATACAGCAATAGTGGGTTCCACTCATGCAGTGCAATAATCGAGGTCTTGCTAAGCTCTCGGTGTAGCCCTCTATAAAGCCGAAGGATTCTCTCCAGCTCGTAAGCGAAATCTCTCGGCAATTACTTGGATTTGTGGCGTTTGCCAAGTAACAATAATAAACAACACACACCACAGATTACCTTTCAGGTCTGAAATATTATGAATATTATGCCAATTCTTTTGGTTAGACCCTTTTGACCCTCCCTTGGTGAGTTTATAGTTTATTTTTACGGAAATTGTCAATTTAGCCTGTTTTCGGTTATGAGACATGCATTGGACAGACATGAATGTATGAAAAAAAAATTAATATGAAACAATGATTGTTAATCAAGTCTCTTGATTCAATTTTGCGATCCAGACCTGATCTGCCCATGCAAACTCTGCCAGTGCTCTAAGGTGGCACCATACGGGCATGGAGAAATTGACAGTTCATAATTCATACACATTTTATATATTGTCCAATCATACTGATCTCGTCTCATGCACAGATCAATAAATAATCAATAATTGTTAGGTACTCTGTACCAATTATATATCAATTACCAGAGCTGCTCCCTTGCCCCGAATTCGAAGGTACAATACTAGAGTATATCCTGAAAACTTGGCGTTGCTCCCTGCTCAATGCAGCAATGCGGGGATATATTGCTCAGCCCTGGGCGATCGTATACTTAAAGAGCATCATGCATCGTCATGCGCGCTTACAATATGCCGGATACGAACCTTGAAAACCATACGATTTTAGTGATTATACTTGGCGAATTGGCATTCCTTTCCCCCCCACATTCCGTTCATCGGATCCCCCACAAAAACCCAATACATACCCCAATACACAATATACAATCTACAATCCATGGTTCCTGTCCACGTTTTACCCTCGGTTGTGTAGATTCTCGGCTCGGCGGAGCGGAACTTTCTCTCTCGGCTCCAAAATTCTTGATCTGCCAAGTCGGTACAACCCACATTTTGGTAATGTGGGGGAATCATTTAGGCTGCTTTGATGCAACTACCGACTCCTGCGATGCATCTGCACCGGCTAGACCGGCTTTCCCCGCTTTTCTATCTGACCTCTTTTAGGGGTCTAAAGTCACGTGTGGAGTGATCCTTACTGCTGATTCCTTAGTTACGCTCCAATAAGGTGCAAAATATTGTTTGAGTCACATGAAATTCTCATCTACCTTTGGACCCAAACATTCCTGTGAATAGGATTACTTCCCAAGACTACTCATGCTAAACAACCCCAAAACAACCCCAAAGAATATTTAGAATCGGAATCTGGTATTGTATCGCGGGCCGGGAGTGACCTCGGGAACTTGTGAAGATCATGCCTAAGCACCAAATCATTCATATATGCAAAGTTCTATTCCAAGTCTAGCTCTATGCACATTCAACGATATATACAAACGTCGCTAAGCAACTCATGATGTCAAAACCAATCCAAATCAAGCTGCAGCCTCAATAGTCTTCTGGAACTCAGCACTGAACGGATAGTCAGTGTATCCCTTAGGCTCCTTGGCGTTATAGAAAGTGGCAGCATCATAAGGCACAAACGGAATGCCCTTCTGAATACGGAACGGCAAGTCCGGGTTCGAAATAAACGGACGTCCAATGCCAACAATAGCATCATAGTCCGCATACTTGACATCCGCCGCCTGAACTGCCGAATCAGCCTCATACCCACCAGTAATAATGACCGGTGAAGCCTTCTTATAAGCCTGCAGGAAGAAATCCAACTTCTCAGTCGCCTCAACATCATCATTCCCCGCAATGCTCGACTCGACCAAATGCGTATACGCAAGTCCCAACCCCGCCATCTGCGTCGCCAAATACTCAAACTGCGGCTTGGGATCCTCCATCTTCATCCCCTGGAACGTACTCCAAGGACTAAACCGAATCGCAGTGCGATCCGCCCCAACAGCCTCAGCAACAGCGCGCGCAACCTCGACCGCGAACCTCCCCCTCTTTTCAACGCTCCCACCCCATGCATCCTCACGCTTATTACACGTATCCTGAATAAACTGATCAATCAAATACCCATTCGCACCATGGATCTCGACACCATCAAATCCAGCCGCAATGGCATTCCGCGCCGCCTGCGCATAGTCCGCAATCCACCCGTGGATCTCGGTCTCTGTCAGAGCGCGCGGCGTAGCAGACTTCGCGTCCATTGGCGTCGCACTACTCGAGATGAGATCGAAGCCGCCTTGCGCTTGGAGGAGTTCCCGGCTTGCGACGCGGCCCAACGCCCACAGCTGAAGGTAGATGTAGCTGCCCTTGGCGTGCACGGCGTCGGTTACTTCCTTCCACGCGGCGATTTGTGCGTCGTTGTAGATGCCCGGTGCGTTGGGGTATCCGCCGGCGCGGGCGGCGATGGAGGTTGCTTCGCTTATGAGGAGGGTGCCGGGGACTGAGGCGCGCTGGGCGTAGTATTCCTTCACAAAGGGGAGGGGGGTGTAGTTATCGTCGGCGCGGAAGCGGGTCATGGGTGCCATTGCGATGCGGTTGGAGAGCTCGACGCGGCCGACGCGGAGGGGGGTGAAGAGTTTGGTCATTTTGGTTCTTGGTCTTGGTCTTGGTCTTGGTCGATATTTGATATTTAATATATAACTTGTAAATGGTAGCAGATTGTTCGATTGGTTTTTAGAATAGAGTACATTTGGATGGAGATGGTCTTATATTTTGTATTTGAGCGTAGTATCCCTCTTGCTTCGCAGAATTTCCAAGATACTCCATTTCGATTAACAAGCAATCGATTAAAAAGCAAAGTGGAGATAGGAAGAAGTGGAGTTAAAGCCGGTGTCCGATCATAAAGCCTTGGAACATGAAACCTCCCATGTGAGAGGAACAAGTGGTGATTTTGATTTGCTGCCAATTGACCCACTATCGCCCGCGCGGACGACTCGGGAGAATTAATAATACACCGTACGATGTTATTAACAAGTTAGTCATTATTTAGGTTTGTGTATGGAGAATAGCAGATCGTCATCAATTGGAGATTTGACGTTCCTTTGACATTCAATGGCAGCTGAAAGTAACATGTAGAAGTTATGTACTTGTGCGTATCGGGACTTGTACAGGGGAAAATATCGCCAAAACGCCATCCTCTGGCCCAGCCATGGACTATAACCATTGCACAAACACGATTTCCTGGTATCATAACGGACTGTAGAAGAACGCAGAACTAAAGAAAAAAGAAAGAAAAAAAAGAAAATAGACATCATCGCTCTAGGCGACCAACAGTAGCTTCGAGCTGTGCGTTGAACGCCCGGATTTGGTTCAAGAGACCGCCTTGTGCTCCAGGGGCTCGGGAACTCACGTCGGCAACAGTGCGAAGCATGTATTCAATATCCATAGAAGAATCCGCAGTAGAAGCAGAACGTTGCTTGTTGCGGTCGAGGGCCAATTCAAGGCTGTGGAGGGAATTGCTGATCGTGGATCGTGACTAGAGACTTATTGTTAGTAATGTTTTCGCCAGGGATTTTAGGGAAAGGTCTCACCAATTTGGCCTTCTCCTCTTCAATATGTCTGCTGCGCACTGCATCCATCTGCAAAGCTATGTTCTCGCGTTCTCGACGGACCCGGTATAGATGATTCCGTAGATCCATCATCTCCCGCTTAGTCTTCTTCAATTGCACGCCAAGCACAAAATTGCTATCGAGGATCCCGCTTAGGTCCATGAGACGGCTCTCAAGCTCCGAGCCGAATACTTCAACGGCTTTTCGCTTCCGCGACCACTCTGCGCGTCGTGTAGCATTCGCTTCGTTCGAAATCCCATCCTTGAGTGTATTGAGTGTTTTCTCCAGAGTCTCGCGGCAGATCTGGCTCAATACATCAGCTGGGTTGACACCGCCGCGGTTGGGTATCTTGGCCTTCTGGTGCGTGCTGAGTTCATCGGCGGATTCTTCATCTCCAGACCCGTTGGTTGTAGATGTTGTGCCACCTAGAGAATTGATATTTGCGAGACGATAAACAGTGACCGGGACGGTTTCTCCACGAGGCTCCCGAATCTTGCGACGAGGCTGTTCTTGTGTAAGCTCAGGCTCGGGTTGATATTCTGTCTCGGGTTCAGGCTCAGGCTCCACTGCGGGCTTAGCCTTCTTCCCTGGTCTGCCGCGCTGGGACTTGAGTGCTGCCGATTCTGCTTCAGGCTCCAGCTGGTCTTCTGTGACAGGCTCAGGCTGCACCGCGCGATTGGCTTGCTTTCCAGTCCTGCCACGCTGGGGCTTGGATACTGCAGATTCAATCTCGGGCTCGGGCTCAGGTTCGGCTGCGTGTTTGGTCTTTTTCCCGGGTCTGCCACGAGACTTGGGTACCGCAGATTCTGCCTCTGGTTCTGGCTCATCTGCTGCCGCAGGCTCAGGCTCGGGTTCGGAGTCAGTTTCAGCTGCGCGTTTCGCTTTCCTCCCAGGTCTATTACGAGACTTGGGTGCCGCAGATCCTATCTCTGCTTCTGATTGGTTTGCTGCCACAGGCTCGGGCTCGGGTTCAGGCTCCACTGCTTGTTTTGTTTTCTTCCCAGGTCTGCCACGTTGTGGTTTGGGCACTGCAGATTCCACCACAGGTTCTAGCTGGTCATCCTTTTGTGATATTGGCTTACGACTCCGATGTGGCCCCGAAGAAGACTCCGGAACATCTGGTATGGGTTCAGGTGAAACCTTCTCAGTCTCGATAGCTTCAATGGTCTTCTTGTTAAGTGAGGGTCTCCTACGAGGCCGTTTGGTCTTTGGGGCTTCCCCAACTGGGGCTGTCGCGGATTCATCTTGCGCCTCGGCTGCAGGTTCCTGTGCAGCAGCTTCCGCATTCGGTTCTGGAGTGTTGTTTGTGGTAGGTTGATGCCGCGAACGACCCCGAGCCTTCTTCGTCTTTGTAGAAGGCCCCTGAGATGTCTGACTGCCTTGTTCTGGTGCATCATACTTGGATGCTGGAACATCCTCAGTCATGTCGACATCATTATCAATAGTCGGCGCACCGCTAGCTTTAAGAGCCTCGGCGGAGCTACCACGTGGTGATAAGGCTTCTATGGTAGATTTATCTGTCTGAGCAACTGGAGAGGCAGTTTCTGTAGTAACCCGTTGACTCTTATTGGTTATTTGGATTTGCTCCTCACGCCGTGGTGGTGACCGAGTGTTACGTCGTTTCTCACGTAGTTGCTCTGTGTTTTTAGGCTGTTCGACCCCGGACTGAGCTTCAGGTGATGGAATTGGCGCTCCCGATTCTTCAGCTACTGTAGGCGCCGTATGGCCAGACAGTGGTGATGTGTCTTGGGCTTGTTGCTCTTCAGCGGCTGATTTTGTTGGTTCCACGCCATTGGCCCCCTCTTCTATCGGGTGTTGATCTTCGACTGTGGTCTCCAGAATGGGTGAGATTTGAGGCCGCGGGGATTTATTGTTGTTTATTTCTGATGGGGGAGGTGCATCTGTATTTGGAGGTTCCTGGATGTGGCTTGTTTGAGAGTCTGTGCTACCTCCACTGTCATCGACGGGGTGCGTATCGCTATTCTCAGGTCGCCCACCATTGCGACGAGAAGGAGTATCTTCTGTTACATTAGTAGGATCTGAGGAAGCATTAGCACACATTTCTAGCATAGCACGCCAGCTTAGTCCATAACATACTGAACTTTCTTCTCTTGTTGCTTCGTGTTTGTTCAGCTCTATCGTCCGAGGAGGGTATTTCGTAGGTCGAGGGCCGTTCTGGGAGCTTATTGCGCGCACTTCCCGGTGTGCGCTCAATCCCTCGAGCTTGCGATTTTGGTTGTGATACCTTGGACGATCGTGGTGTTGTGTTCGGCGCGGTCTGGGTTCGCGGTGGCTTCTGAGCTTCAGGGACAGTCGCAATCGGCGCGGGCGCTGATAATCCCAGCGCTGGGCTACCAAACGAGAACCCAAAATCGACTTCTTTTGCTTTGCGCGTCCTACCGGCAAGTCAGTTTCTATATTATGGTTTCGCGGGGTATAGGCAAGGCGCGTACCCAGCTCCACGCTGCCGCATTTGCTGCCGCTCCTCTCGCGCTGTCAATTGTTAGCAATTTCACACATATATAAACACAGCACCACAACACATACAGGCTTCCATTTTGGAGGAACGGCGTCGAAAAAGACGCGTCGTGTTGATGGTTGAGGAGTAAAGACGAGCGGTCGGAGCCAAGGCGATCGGAGCCGATCCATTTTTGTGCCGATTTCTCCGCGCTCTCAACCTCCAACACTCTGTTGCACATTCTTGGATATTCTCGAACTAGTATTTCCAAATGGGTTGGTTCTGGGGTGACAAAAATGATACTGTCCAAAAGCTCGACCCGGGGCTTCGTGACTATCTCGAACAGGAGAAGCCCGACAAATATGTGCCTGGACCCAATGTGAAGCCGCCCTCGACGCCCGCGCCATCGCTCGAACCGTCTGATCACTCGAAACCGAAAGTTCCTGCAGCATCACTCTACCAAGATGGCCGTTATGCTGATCTATGGAAAACCTACAAGCCGCCGATGGAGCTTGACGAACAATCGGGAGTCCGCGGAGCTTCGCGAGTGATTGAAAAGTACAAGGAGCGCGGCGACACAGTGCAGCGAGCAGCAATGGAGAACTGTGCCTTGGAGCATGAAGCCTTGACACACTGTTTTAAGACCGGCAATTGGCGCAAGCAGATTGAAGCCCGGCTGACCATGTGCTCGGCGGAGAATGGCACCTTTTCGCGATGCTTCACGACTCAGACTGTGAGTTGGCGCTAGAATAGTAGCTTTATCGACCATGTCGATTCTAATATGTTTCCTTTGAACAGAAATTCCTCCAAGCTCTCGGCTACGCGGCCGGCTTCGAATATGACGCCGAAAAAGAGGAGCGCATTCAGATGCATGCCGACAAACTCTACCACCAGATGCTAGATTACGAAAAGCGAATCGAGGAAGCAAAGGCCGCCGGAATTGAGCCACCGCCTCTCACATCGCTTTTCAACCCAGAGAAGCCATCACAAACCCCGGAAGTCGGCCTTGAGATTCCTGGAGGGGAGGCAATCCCGGAAGAGCTCAAACCGTCGAAGCCCTTACAGAAGCTCACGCCACATGAGCGAGAGTTGGAGATTCGCGCACACTATGCGCAGCGGGAGCAGCACAAGATGTATGCCCAGGAGGCTGCGCCCTTCATGAAGACTCAAGACGATGCTCGACAGAAGCGACAGGATAGAGCTGTAAGCTGGTTTGGAGAGACTCTCGGCAAGTGGATGTCGTAGCATATCTGAGTCCTTGTATTTACTATTTTGCTTTGAAAAATGGCGACTGGAGAGGCGTTGGGGTTTGTTTGAAGTTATATTGTATAGGTCTTTTCCCATAGTACTCTGTAAAGAGTAACAGTTACACTTAAGTGTCATCTTTGAGGTCCCTGATGTTATTCCTAGGTCTCTCTCTCTCTCTGGTTTTTTTTTCTTTCCCTTTTTCTATCTGCTTCTAGTGCTTACTTCTAGGGACCTCGGGTAGTTGGATATTAAAACATAACATGAGCATTTTCAGTATAAACAGTCAGTTTGGTTAATCTAATAGATATAGATGCATAGATGCATAGATGCTATATAATATTCATATATAACATAGTATACATAGTATTCATAGTATTCATGGATATAATAAAGAGGAATGCCAATAAAACCCCCGTCCATCGCCTATCTAATCGTCGGTCGCGTTCTCCCGCGCAAACAACTCGAAGCATCATCGTAGAATCACGACTCTCTTCCTTTAACCTTACTCTCTCCAACTTCTTGTTCAACTCACTGTCGCATCTTTGAATTTTCTTCCATTCCTATTTAAATCACACTTCCTCCCTGTCTTCTTACCTGAGAGTAACTGAATCCTCTCCAATTCAAAAGCTACCCCAGATATCACCTGGCAAAAAAAGATACCTGGATCATTGGACTCGGAAATTCTCTGTTGTCTCTTTAGGCCATATTTTCCTACGCAAAAATCGGTGGTGCTCAACAAGCTGAGCTGCGGCGCTCGCCATGAAAGCCACCCCGTTGCTCATCTCATGGCATAATGACAATGCCCCTATCTACTCGGTGCATTCCGATCCCAATGGCAAGGGTCGGCTAGCTACTGCTGGGAAGTAGGTTATATCTGTGCTCTCAAAGTGTTGAACGGTTTCACTGACTGCTTTCTCTTTAGTGACAACAACGTCCGAGTATGAATCCGTCCTCCGTCGCCCTACGCACACCTTGATCTGACATGTTCTACAGCTCTGGAAAGTCGAGTCCACCGGGGAGGAAAGAAAAGTCTCTTATTTGAGCACCCTGATTAAGCATACACAGGCCGTCAATGTGGTCCGTTTCAGCCCGAAAGGTATGGTTTTTCTGCAGGATAGCATATGGCCGCAAGTCTGACAGGTATAGGTGAGATGCTGGCATCTGCTGGGGATGATGGAAATGTCCTACTCTGGGTACCATCGGAGATACAAACACAAGCTGGGCTGGGTGAAGATCGGTCGGACGATAAAGAGACCTGGCGAGTGAAGCACATGTGTCGTTCTTCTGGCGCCGAGATCTACGACCTGGCCTGGTCTCCAGACGGTGTTTTTATCATTACAGGTAGCATGGACAACATCGCACGGATTTACAATGCCCAAACTGGTTGGTTACCCTCGAGTAATCCTCATACAGCTTGATAAGCTGACCAAATTCTACAGGGCAAATGGTACGACAGATTGCCGAGCATTCTCACTATGTTCAAGGTGTAGCATGGGATCCGCTTAACGAGTTTGTCGCGACTCAATCGTCCGACCGGTCCGTTCATATTTATACATTGAAGACCAAGGATGGACAATTCACATTGACACCACACGGGAAGGTTCTCAAGATGGATCTCCCTACCAAACGTATCGCATCCAGCAGCCCTGCGCCTCCAGATGTGACTAACCGGACTCAACAAAATACTGGAAATTCCATTGCTATTGCCTCGCCTGCTCCCTCGACTCCGGGGACTCCAATGGCTTCCAACCTACCCATGGATCCTCCTCCAGTCTCACATAGCCGGCGTTCTTCGTTCGGCTCATCTCCTTCCATCCGGCGGTCTGCGTCTCCTGCTCCATCTCTCCCATTGCCCGCCGTTAAGCCACTGGAGGTCTCCTCTCCAAGTCTTGGTGGCCTCGGGGTCAAGAACGCCAGTATTTACGCCAACGAGACGTTTACTTCTTTCTTTAGGCGACTGACTTTTGCTCCTGACGGAAGCTTGCTGTTCACACCAGCTGGTCAATTCAAAACCAGTCACGTATCGGCTACGGATTCTACAAAGACGAGCGACGAGATCATCAACACGGTGTACGTGTACACACGGGCTGGTTTCAACAAGCCCCCGATCTCTCATCTTCCAGGACACAAGAAGCCGTCTGTAGCCGTCAAATGCTCCCCGGTCTTTTACACGTTGAAGCAGGGCACGCAGCCTGCGAAAAACATTACCCTTGACACGTCTTCGGGTGAGGAGTCGTTCTCATCTCTTCCAGACCCCGTGGTATCGGGAACCGCATCTTTCACCAGCCAGCCCCATACGGTTCTTCCAACAACGGCCGAGCCATCAAAGCTTCAGCCATCCCAAAAGGCTACCGAAGACGGCAGCAATGAAGCAAGCCAGAGCTCGGCGCCCGTCTTTGCACTTCCTTATCGCATTGTATATGCTGTTGCCACCCAAGATGCTGTTTTGGTATATGACACGCAACAACAAACTCCGCTATGTATTGTTAGCAATTTGCATTTTGCTACTTTCACTGACTTGACCTGGTAAGTACTGGTTCTATTGCTAATACCCATGTCTTGGTTTCTAACGTACAGCAGGTCTGTCGATGGATTAACATTGATCATGAGTTCCTCTGATGGCTTCTGCTCTACCCTCTCATTCGCACCTGGAGAGTTAGGTCAAACATACACAGGACCAACGTCTGTGGCTCACAACACTGCGAACCCAACCACCCCTGCGACAAATCTCACACCTCTGCTGACACCAACGCATTCGGCATCTCCACATGTACCATCTCCAGTCAAGACGAGCCATGTATCCTCAAACAGCACAGGTCCCGCACCGCCAGCTAGCCCTGCACGGTCGAGTTCAGCCTGCTCAGTCACGACGCAGCCTTCCACACAACCAACCCTCGCGGGAGTTGTGAATAATCCTACTCCGACACTCGGGACTGTTCCATCGGTGACCGCAACACACTCTGCGCAGCCACCAACACTTCCACTCACAACCCCACCACAAACGCCCGTCTCAGGCGCTCCACAGAATGGGCCCGGTAGTAGTGTTCTGGGCAAGCGTGACGCAAGACCGGCAAGCGAGTCCGAAAAAGAAGAGGGCAAGGGTGATCCAAATAATGCGTTGCAGCAGCCGCCAAAGAGACGCCGTGTGGCGCCCACCCTGATCTCGGCAGGTACTGATGGAGCCTCGTCCTCAAAGGACAACAAGTCCTAAGTTGAGATAATGTGGAGACATTGGTGTCTTGAAATCTTTCTCGGCCTCGGCATGCAAGGCATGAAATGCAAAGTTTGCTTTGCCGGCTGCCGCTCCTTATGATTCATGTTTCTTCTTCTTTTCTAATCATTCCTCATGCTATATCCTCATCGTATTCTATGTTCTGTATTTGCATTATATTTGTTTTTGATTTTTTTCAACCATCGGGTTTATGGTGGATGGAGTTGTGAGAACTGATCTACCTTCTCGCTCATGTTTTGCTGATCCTTTTGATCTATGCATGAATTGTGGCATGAGAATAAAGAATTAAAATGTACTATCTTTACCTTTTAAGTAGACGATTAGCGAAATCATCTAAAACCATGCTCTCGGGGTACAAAAAGCCACTCTAAAGAATCTAGCGCAATGCTAAGAATGAGACTGTAAGAATGAATGTATCATTCATTTCGCCATTGGAAGCTATACTACACGTCTCCCTCGATCCCTTGAATACCGAACAAAACTATACAATAAGTCATATCGCTTCGTGATCCGTCTTCCATCATACATGAGTGACAACAGCCCACATGATAATAATAATAGTGGCCAATCACAACAAACCGAGTAAGTCATTTAGTCTCCTCCCCATTGGACGTGAAACTCGACAGTTCTCTCAAAACGTCCAAAAGCGAGCAATCAGGCGGCAACACCGACCTCGCCTCGGTAGCATGTGTGCTAGTCGTCACGGTGGTGACAAAGAGCGTTCCCCCAAGCTCAGACTTATCAAACCGAGAAGTGACAGGAGCAACAGCCAACTCGTTTGCCCATCGAAACAGCACCTCGCCACTACGAGAACCACCAGCTACGAATAGAAACTCGGGATATTTGATATTGGGGAGATGGTCTAGGATATAGGTAGCGACTCTGCCATTCCCAAGGGCAGCGTGTGGTGGTTCGACCTTGACAGATTTTGCCTCGCGGACGACATGGAAATCCGCATGCCCACGGGCACCGTTGATTTGATCGGCTAGCTCGGAGGCCTGGCGAGCGGCTACTTCCCGGTCGAGCGCGCCGTCGTAATGAAATGTTAGGGAGCAGCGGCGTTCCTCGATTTGACTACCTTCTGTTCGCTCGCGGAAATACTCCATCATCTTTTTGATACCGGTACGCCATTTCATGGCGCTTTCTGGCACAAATGGAATCCATGGGCTTGATTCGGGCTCTTGTAGGAAACATCCATTTTCGACAATAAAACCGAGCTTGCGGGGGAGTTTTTCGAGTGCTTCTTGGAGCTGTTTGGTGCTCCGGATGCTGCTTATGTATAAGATGTTCTTGGGGTCGTCTATAAGTGTTTGTAGAGTTGCGCATGCTTCGTTTGAGGGGAGAGACTCCTCTATATGGAAAGCTGGGCCGAAGATTGCGCCGTCTTCTAAAAAGAACATCCGTGCTCTGGCAGCGAGGTATGACTCTTTCAAGTCATTAGGTGAAAGCGGAGAGAGGTGGTTTGTCTGATGGATTTGTTGTATCTCATGGGCTTTTGTGAGAGCATCTTGTAGCACCATGTGCCATTTGAGAGCAGTATAGGGAGATTTGCACCCGAGAAGGAAATTCCAGTTGAGTTTGCGCTCCGACGGTGACAGTTCGAGTGCAGATCTGATTGCATCGGCACATTGTTGGTAGTTCCACGGATTGACGAGAAGCTTATGGCCACGAAAGATGGAGCCACTACCCACAAACTCGCTGAGAATCAGAGATCCATGTTTCTGGGAGGCAAGTTGTCCATCTTGGCAGTGGATAAAATCATGGCTGGTCAAGTTCATTCCCTCACGTAGATTGGTGGCCATGAAGATATGCGCAACACTTAAGAGGGCGATAAATTGAAAGTGACTGATATCTTGCCGGACCAGGACCAGTGGCTGATGAGTGATGGTTGAATATGTTGCATTGATCCTCATTGCGATTTTTGAGATCTGTACCTCCAGCTCTGGGATCTCAGATGCAGACGACATTACTTGGACTAGAACCACCTATATAGAAAACAAATCAGTAGGCCACACGCAATAAGATAAGTTAGTCGACCTACTTGCTCTCTCCATTTTGGATAGGTATTGAGAAAAAGTTCATATGCCAGAAGCTTCTGCTTAATCCCTCCAGGGGCATCCAATCGATCCCGCGCTACAATGAGATGTTGTCCTTGGTATTTATGGCCGATGCTGTGTATCCAACCCTTGACCTCGGTGGATTGGCGTAATATATAAAGTGATATAGGGTCAATCCCCAATGGAGAATTCACAACACTAACGTACCGATCATTGAGGTGAACCTGATTGGCAGAGACCTCCAGCCTCCTCAGGCGGCTGCAGGAGTGAAGGAAGTGGTTGCAGTATTCCTCTGTCTGAAATCCGATCAAATCAGCGCCTAGAAACCCATTCAACAGTTCTTCGCGCGGAGTCAAACAACGGAAGATTTCGGAAGAAGGGAACGGGGTGTGCAAGAAAAATCCAATCTCGGCCTGGGGTAATTTTTCCCTCAGAAGACCAGGAAGAACCAGAAGATGATAGTCATGGACCCATATTCTATCACCTGGCTTCCAGTGCTTGATGATCGTTTCTGCAAACGCCTTGTTGAGCTTGAGATATTGGACCCAAGAGTAACCATCATACTCAGTATGTCGTGGGCTTTCTTGCATCTGATAATGGAGGGCTGGCCAAAGCACGGCGCGACAAAAATGGGTGTAATGGCCCTCGAACTCGTCGTCACTCACAAACACCGTCAACGAATCATATACGTCCTGGAGGGTTTCGGCGATGTCCGCCCTGGTAGTATCTGCCAATGAGTCGGTAGGCATGCCCAGAGTTCCCACCCAAGTCTTGTCCTTGAGTAAATTGGACTTCTCAGCAGCGTGGATGGCATTTTGTAGACCTCCATGGCCTTGTTCGGCGGCCTTGACGACCCAGTCAGCATTGGAGAACGTGGCTCGTGTGCCATTGTAGTATTTTATGCCCCGTCGGTCCTGTGATCCATCCAAAGACAAGTCCCTTCTCATCGAAATAGACGGTGGCGGAGGATCTGTCGCTTTGGACTGAGGCTGATTAAATCTCCGGCTGTGTCCCCAATGAATGGCACGGGGCTCGCTGGGGCCGTGCCATAATCGGTCATTGGCAATCGGAATCTCATCTGTCAATCGGGAAGTGTATCCTTTGAAGACCGTCTCGTCTTCTGTCGTGGCTCCGGGTGTCAGTGGGAGACAGCCAATGGGACGAGCTGGACAGTAGGAATAGGTATCCGATGGGTGCCCAACGATAGATTCAGGACCATCGACATTTGCATGGCTAGACAAGGACGCGTGATGTCCATGCTTGGGCTCCGTCACTTGGAAATCGATGGTATATGGGAGGAACCTGGTATATGCTACGTCAGACCTGTGGAGTTTTGTAGGTAAGGAAAGGACCCACAAAGATGCAATGAAGACCGTCATTGCACTGAATTATAACCCGAATGTAGTATCTAGGTTGCAAATGGTCAAGGGGTTCAATTCATGATGTAGGTGAGTCAAGGATAGTTAAACAATGAGGATGGAGGGGCTCAGACTTTCGAAAAGGAAGGAACAGCTCGTTGCCACTGCCATATGTATCTCTCTCTACTTTATTGTATTGAGCAGGATCTTGCTATACTGGAGTGACTTTGGTTAAATAACATTTGGGCCATCATAGTTCCTATTTTCTATATCGCTATAATGCATCCAGCCTGTATTTTTGAGGCAATCTATTTCATGGACAGCGAATATCGTATAAAGAGTCGGTAATCCTTAGATATAAAAAGGTTAATTGTAGCAAGAAAACCAGTCAATGGCATTTAAACTTGTGGGCTTCAAAGAATTAGAGAATATTGTATAGGATTGATGACATCCACATAAAAATGAAAAGGCCGAGCCTCTCTCGGCCTTTTCGGGCGTGGATTGAAACATTCTGCGAATAGTCCGAGCAAATTTAAATATAAATAATGGGTTTCAAGAGAACTGCAATAGAAATCTAGACTCCGTGTCTTGTTTAAGAGATATTAATACTTTCTGTGCTTAAATCAAACTCTGAGAATGTCTACCTCACAAGTATCGATTGGCCAGGCTACACCCAAAAGCTCCGAAGGGCCTGATCGACTCGAACCTGAAAAACCAACAGAATTTCCAGAGGGTGGCACTAGAGCCTGGATGGTGGTTTTAGGGGCATTCTGTGTGTCTTTTTCAACATTTGGATACATGAACGCTTTTGGGTGAGCTCTATACTCAACCCTATTGTGATAAGATTTGACTGACGCATGATACAGAGTCTGCCAGGATTACTATACCGAGCACTTTCTCTCCAACAAAACTTCATCCAGTATCTCTTGGATTGGGTCTGTGCAGGTCTGTTTTTCTCTTCTCTGGTAGCCTTATTAGCGGGCCATTGTTCGATCGATATGGCGCTTCGGTAAGGATTTGAAGTGTCTTCCTGTTAGCAACCATTCACTGATGATACTCCCCCTTTAGACCATTTATATACCTGCAGTTGCTATGGTGTTGTCAGTAATGATGACATCTTTATGCAAAAAGTATTATCAATTCATGCTTGCCCAAGGGGTCCTGGGTGTAATTGCTTCTGGCATGTTATTCGCCCCCGTCATGACATGTGTGAGCCACTACTTTTATAATCGACGTGCTGCAGCCCTTGGTGTGACAGTCTCTGGATCTTCCATCGGGGGAGTTATATTTCCCATTGCCTTGAGCAAGATGTTAAGGAATGAATCCTTGGGATTCGGATGGTCCGTCCGAATTGTGGGGTTCATCATCTTGTTCATGGTATTGACAGCAATGGTCACTGTCAGAGAGCGACTGCCTCCTCGTTATGGCAAAATCCTCTTGCCGGCAGCTTTTGCTCGCGCATGTAACGCTGAGTCCGGATCAGATTGGCACTCATCTTGGCATGTCAATGGCCATTATTGGTCTTGCTGGTCTGACTGGAACCCCAATATGCGGTGCTTTGCTCGAAAGATATGGAACATACACACAGTCCGCAGTTTTCAGCGGTGTGGTGATGTTGTTCGGAGTCGTTCTTGTCACCGTGGCGAGGTTTTATCTGCGGACAAAGCTTCTGGAAATTGTGTGATCCTGTCCCGGCCTCCTCGAACGGCTTTTGATCCAATCTGTATTCTTAATTAGATGTGTTTTTATTTAGCTCCAACTGAGTGGAAGGACTTCAAAGTGATATACTTTTCGGGTGACATACTGGAGCAAGGCTAATTATACATGGAAGAAGCCGTAATCAGTACCATCATTAATAAACCCCAGATCTTCTAAAAACTATTCAACCATCGTCAGTGGATGCAGGTTGAAATCTCTGAAACCAATTACATACCATTGAACCGAGTAGTTCGGCGCCGTCGGGAATCATAGAGCTTGCATCCTCTGGTAAGCTAAGCCCACGTAAACCTTCATTATCGCTACAGACAATCAGTATAGGTTCGGATGGCGCATGTCAATGGAATACTTACATTGAACCTAGCAGAGAGTGATCTGACTGAATGACAGCCCGCCCCTGCGTTTGAAGTATAATGCAGATTTTGATCACTCTATCTGCTGCCTCTTTGTCGGACGTTGCGCACGACTCTGGTCACAGCTTAGACTTGACTAATCCAACTATCATACTGAGTAGGTAATATTCGTTTAATCTGTGAAAGGTCAAGCTGAGCGTCTTTTCCAACATTTGTAGTGCCTGCTCAACAGTGGCCACGAGAAATGTTGAGACTTGGGGAAATACTGTCATCGTGGCTGATTGTTTCAAAGCTTTCGAGTATTTAGTTGTGCTCGTTTCTTTCATGTACATAAAACTAAGAATAGAGAAGCGGGATTGTCTTTTGCTTACCATGAGGTCCGTAATTCATGTAAATTTCATGGCAGATATTCATTGCAGCAAGTAGTAATCCGGTCCTGCAAGCTTGTTGCGGTACTTTTTCATCCCGAATAAGCTTTTGGTGATGGTCAAGAACCTTCAAGGATGCCTCCAACTTTGCACGTCGGCAGATTGTGGATTTGAATGAGGACGTAGCTTGGATTGCAAACTGGATGTGCAACAAGACTGCATACTGGTGCAGGTGAATGTCCAGTAATCTCTTCACGTACATCGTAGACTGCTACTGTCGCGGATTTTCTCGGGGATTATTCCATTCCGGGATATCCTGGAGTGCTTCTTCTAGCTCCTCTCCAAGGCTCAAGATCCGGCCAAAATCATCTTGCTCGTCACATCCATTGACGAATGCACATACTTAATTTCGGGCTCGGCAATTTCGATCGATTGAAAGGGCCTTCTGAGATCGCAGCCTCCAGTTTCTATTAGCTTAGATTTTCCTCGATGGAGTCCATTGATCGCTCACCTTTGTGACTTTCACGATGACATCGTCTGGATGTTTCAATTCAGGCCGCTCAACCTCATCCACTCGAACCTGATAAGGTCCGATATAGTTCAGTGCCTTTCATGGTAGTAGCTGTTGCCATTTTGAGTTTCTGAGATAGACCGGTAGGTAAGTGCGCGACTTGTGCGTGGTACGGACAGCGAACGCCGGGGTATTTGAGTGCATCGGTCACAGGATTCGAGATAATCTATTACCACTCTCGAATTGTAGAACATAATGCCCGTATGAACCGCTACCACGACCAATGAGGGGCCCGGTGAATGAACTGGCAACCAACGGTGGCGTGCGAGGGAAGGACTTTCTCTTCTCTGTATCCAGAAGTGGGGTGTAGCGGCAGTTACTGAAATTGCTCTACAACATAAGCCTTGCTTGTCAACGTGAGATGGGGTTAAATACCGCACTCTCGCCGTTAGCATCGCTTTCCCGCTCTCACACAATATCGACCCCCACGTAGCTGAGCGGAGACCCCCATCTACGGGCAAGGGTACCATATAGAAGAACGTGTTTCAGAATATTAAGACAGAGTCAGTAATTCCCACTTGGACGCCTCTGGTTATCTCTGGATTGTATAATAGGAGCAGGGAAGCTTCAGGACCTTTTTCTTTGTAAATCCGCACGGCTGGAAATTCAACAGTGAGTTCGTCCACATCACCGGTACGACACGCAAAAGGCTAAAACTCATGATAGTGTCGTCACCTGACACCGAAGCTATCTCCACTGTCCTTCACGCCTACGGGGCGGCTCTAAAAGCCCGGAATGTGGAGGAGGTACTGGCACTTTACACCAAAGATGGTGTCATTATGCCTCCGCATTTCCCGGCGAGTGCGGGCGTCGACTCTCTACGCGCATCGTATACGCGCATTTTCTCAACAATTGAGCTGGTCATCACTTTCCAAATCGAGGAAATTGTTATGATGTCTCCAGAGTGGGGGTTCGCCAGGACGACGGCTGAGGGTACCAAAACGATACTCGCCCTGAACGAGTCGGAGCCACACGCGAACCAGGAATTGTTCATCATGAAGAAGGAAAATGGCAAGTGGGTGATTGCTAGATATGCCTTCTCAACCATGAAACCGCTGGTTCAGCACGGGATCCAGAGGAGCTGAAATACATTCTTCACGAAATGGAAATTTGTTACCTGCCAGTTCTTTCAAATAAAAAAAATGCATTTCATTGAAGATATTATGTACAGAAAGGGTAAGAAAGTAGGGGGGGAAAAGGATTGGTTGGATCCGAGCTTTTTGCGGAGCTCGCACTAAACAACACCACGATTCTATGAGCTCACTCGCAATTACTAGAGACTGAAGGGAAAGATTTAGGAGCTTTTTGTTAGTCGTGAAAGACAACCCTTCCCTAAGTTGTAGTTGGGAAGATACTGGCAACTATCTTGAAAATAATTAATATCTTGTTAAATGCTATTTGGTACTGTCTGACACTTCTTCCTCCCAGGTCTCCATTATATGTTAATATTTACATAGGTCGCTGGGAAAATGTCTGCCGAAGTGAAAAACAGAAGAAAATCGCTTCTCCCCCAGTGGCTTGGACATGAAACTGCCGAGTTATTACAGTCTGTCCGCAAGCTTTTTGAAATTAACAACTATCCATTGCTTGAGGACGAATAATACAGTGTGGCTGTATGCAAAATATATATCTGGTAGACATGTTGCTATTGTTTCTGCCAGTTTCTCACTGCGAGGTTTTACTGATATTGTTTAACTTTGACATTTAATATCCGAGACTGTTTAAGTTGATTACAGCATTGGATTTGTTAATGCGAGCTGCTATTAGATATTGTGTGAAGGCTGGTGCTTAACTATGTACGCCAGACTGCATATCATCAAGCTCCTTTCAGTGGCCCAACCATTTAAGATAATATTAGCGAAGACGATATTTTAGTGACTGTAAGTTCATATATTGGTATTTATTCAATTCTCTAGAATAAGTCTGACTATCTATCAAAAAAGGGCTATTCCATCTGGCCAACTTATAAGTTCATGACCATGAACTCTATTGCAACATTAACGACAACAATGAGCCAATCACGGAAAGATAAAGAGAGTAGGCGGAGTAAAAATCAGCCCTACCCATTATAGATAAGGAGTACGCCAAAACATAAAAACAACGAATACATCGACTATTAGTGTTAGTTGTCGAGAACACCTCTCTATTTGCGATACATTCCAGACGGGAACTCAGGCCGCATCTGTGTGATTACGTAAGAGCATTCAACCACTCGGCTAAAAGATCATAGCAACAATTGTAGCTGCAGCGGTATATATACTAGGCCCTAGACTTCACTCGGGACCACAATCAGGATTTACTCTTAGTTCCTCAGTAGATAGAGAATGCCTTCTTGCTAGCAGTTTCTCTAGTCTTATACTATTCCTCACTAGGTTAACGGTATATCGCGCATCTTTGAGCACGGTCCGACAATTTAGATCTGAATGGGCAATTTGCCGACCTCAGCTATCATATTCAAACGGGTCAGCTGATAAGATGCGGGAAAATTCTTCGAGACCCAGGAGCTTGCGACAACGATAGAGCTAGAGTGGATTAGCGCATGACGATTTGGCCCACCCTAGCTAACGCTATGATCGCGTATATCCGTCGGGTTCACTTTCGAGTTAATCAAAAGACCGTATGGAGTAAAACGTCGAACCATGTGAACGTACGGCCAAGCTCAAGAAATCAGCTGCACGGCGAGCCACCTATGCTGCGTGCGTGTCCTCCCTTCCTGGCGGGGGACGGAACGCCCACCACGTCAGGTTGAGGATCCCCTTATTATCGCAGTGCCACAGGATTGACAGAAATTCGAGATGAGGAGGGACGCGCAGGTATTGAATAGATGTTGACGCGTGGAAACCAGATGCAATGCGCGCATGCATCCACGGGGATGAAGCATCGACGGTGCATATAGCCTCGGCACTTTGGAAAAAGAGAGCCAAGCTCGTAGGATACGACAGCAGTGTCGCAGGATAAGCTGCGTCTTGTTTAATATATCATTCAAGCAATAAAGTCAAGAGACTCAGGAGAGACCTGGGGTCTTGGCACTTGGCGTCCGGGGATAATTGGCTCGGTCGGCTTATTGAGCCTGAATTGCTTTAGCTTTTTGAAATTCTGCATTTCTCCCTTCGTTTGTGGCTTTGGCGCATCCAATCCCATGGGAATAACCAGTGCCAATATGAGTGCCTTGCGTGTTGCGTACGAATCGTACTACCTAACTGTTGTTAATTATTACGGTCAATACCGCCGACGAGAAGAGAAAATAAAATGTAACTGATAAACAAAATGAGCGATGGCCAAAATACCAATTGGTATTGCTTGTAAACGACCCAGTTTTTTTTTGCGAAATTGGTGCTCGCGCCATCCGAGCTAAGCATCCAGGCATTTTTTCTCGGCATCGGAACTATAGGGGACGTCATGTTAGTAACAAAAAGGTCAATACTTTCGATACTTATGATGGATTGTTCAACTACTTATGGGATTCTAACCCATTCGATCGCATAGCCACCCAGCATAGCCTTGGAATATTACTAGGTTCAAACGCGGCTCAGAAGATGAAACGACGGCGGCGGTGGATCGATCGGTTTCCCCAGACAGAATAGAATGTCTGGTCAGTAATTTCCCGAGTCATGGGATGGTAATAGAATTCAGGGCTGAATCTCGAAAGCTCGTAAATCTAAAAAAACAGCATGATTGTACTCCGTACGGGGTATTGTATCATTGGCATACCACAGTCAACGTAACCCTAACTATATTCTCATAATTTACTCTGTATAGATGCACCCGTGGACCCGAGCATGACTGATTATTAATTCCATTGAGCCGGCTAGACTAGACATATTTGAAGAGCCTACTTAGGTACAGAACCTTTCCCAACCCCTGGTTATTCATATGTAGGTCGGCTCATTGGGTACGATGTATACAGAGCGCGGGTTCCGGGAGTTGTACGGAATACTCCGTATGTACATCCAACATGTACAACAGATCGACACGACCCAATCCTTTGCCTAACCGAAAAAGGAAAAAGATGATTCAGTGACTCGAATCACTATTTTCAGGGTCTTCTTGTGGGTGGTTCAAACGGGTTATTTTGATTGGCGATGGAGTACGAGTTCCTGCGAGTTGTAGCGTTGTACCGACTTAGCCCTAATGATCCGCACTAAATGTACGGACTATTTTTTTAATATGAGATCGGAGTATGGATCTCACATTCACATTCCCATCGAAGATGGACGATTGAGTATCCCAAGAATTACGATCTCACGTTGCATAGGACATTCATACCAAGGAAGACGAAGATGCCTTAGAAGGGCCCCTTCATAGGGACTAACGCTAAACCTCATTGGGCTGTAAGCACCGCCTCAAAGCGGCTTAGCAGGCTGTCGGCCCCGATCATGCGAAATGCCAAGACGGACGCTTGCGCGTCTCCAGCCTTTGAGTGGAAAAGCGGACAGAAGAGTCGAGCTTTCGTACCTTGGCCGCGCGTTGGGCCCGACAACTTATTCTCCTTAATATTATTTCTTTTTTTCTTTTTCTTTCTCTTTAGCTTAATGTTGATTTGGTATGGAGTACAACAACTCTGTACTCTTACCAAGTATATCTACTAACCTAACCACGAGCGTTGATCATCGCCGTATGAATCCTCAAACGTATTGATCTTCGCTGTGTTGTACCCAACCACTATTATATTGACAACAATTTTGGAAGACTACATATTGCGTGATGAGCTAGGTTAGGGTATAGGATACTCACATACATAATATATAATATAATGTACCTTGAATATATACTAAAATATAATATTAAGGTAATGAATATATGTTGTATGTCAAGAATAAAAAAGGATATAGAAGCCTTCAAGCCATGAAAGTATAGACTGCGCCAAGAAACTAACAACGATCCATGAAAATCTGGATGTGGACGTTACGTGTTCACGGGAGCCAAAAATACACAAATTACGGAAATTACGGGGAAAAAGGGTCTTTCCCTTGGCCTTTTTTTTTCGTTTTCGCACACGCGGCTTGGCCGCGGGGCCCGTGATTGGGGCCAGATGCTGACGACGCTCGTAATACTGCGTACGCTACTCCGTACTCTTGTTCTCTCCCTCTCTCTCTCTCTCTATCCAAGGGTTTGTCTTTCTTTCTTTCCCTTCTTGACTCTCCAATAAGAGAGTGATCTTCAAGTGCTACGTCAACTCGAGCGAGGTAGTTCCTTCTTTACTACTCGTCTCTGACATCCCATTTCTTACTCCTCTTCCTCCCCCCCTCCCAACCTTGGGTCAAATTGGACCTCTTTCGCCGAAACTCGATTGTTCGCCCATTTCGAGTCATTCTGGATCTCAATCTTCATCGTGTTGGAAGTCTGCCGTGACTTCCTCATCGACTATGGCGGACGGCAGACATCGGGCAAACCAGCCTGCCCCAAATGGCTACGACGCCTCCTCTCTAACCCACGAATTCGAACAACTGATGCGCACCAAACGACTCAACCGACTTCATGAACCTTCTCGCTCGCATAATAACTCACCATCACCATCCCCGATGTCCAGTTCAGCATTTCCTCCACCACCGACGCGAGCTCCGCCACCACCTCCCTCGTTGGGCACCCCTGCCGCCGCTCCCTCCCCAAAGCCATCCACCCCATCAGCACTACGCGGTCTGCCTATCATGCCATCGCCTCCCCAGGATCCAGCTTCACTTAAATTTTACAATTTATTGAAGGGATTATCAGTTACACCCACTAAGTATGAAAATCCGGGTCTATTGGATGAGGCCTTGTCCCTCATTCCGCTCGATCGCCTGTATTCCGAGGCCGAGGAAGAATCCCAAATTATGCAGGCCCAGGCTGCCAGCGTGGCAGGGAAGCCGGAATGGGGCTACCAAGATTGCGTGATCCGAGCATTGCTAAGGTATGTTGGAATCCCTAGATGGTCTAGACTCATTGCGCCCTTGCTAACACATCTATCTTGTATGCAGATGGTTCAAGGGGTCATTTTTCCAATTTGTTAATAACCCTCCATGCTCGAGATGTCACATGCCCACCATCGCCCAAGGCATGACCCCTCCCACCCCCGATGAGACCGCCCGGGGCGCAACCCGGGTCGAGCTGTACCGTTGTTCCGATACTAGTTGTGCCGCCCCCGAGCGATTCCCGCGGTATTCCGATGTGTGGCAATTGCTGCAAACTCGACGAGGCAGAGTTGGCGAATGGGCCAACTGCTTTAGCATGTTTTGCCGCGCAGTCGGGGCCCGAGTCCGTTGGGTCTGGAATTCCGAAGATCATGTCTGGACCGAAGTGTACTCGGAACACCAGCGGCGATGGGTCCACGTTGATGCCTGTGAGGGCGCCTGGGACCAGCCTCGCCTGTACACCGAAGGATGGCAACGCAAGCTCTCTTACTGTGTGGCCTTCTCCATCGATGGTGCGACCGATGTTACCCGCCGCTACGTTCGCAACTTCTCCCGACACGGAAACCCTCGCAATCGCGCCCCCGAAGAAGTTGTTCTGTGGTCGATCCACGAGATCCGACGCAAGCGTCGCGAAAACATGTCGAAGACCGACCAACGCCGCCTGATCAAGGAAGATGAGCGCGAAGAGAAGGAACTCCGGTGCTACATGGCATCTGCTCTGGCAGCAGAAATCAACAACATGCTCCCACAAGGCCTTACCGGTCGCCCCGAGGACCAAAAACACCCAGGTGCTCGCCAGGAGGCCTCGACCGAGTGGCTTGCCGCACGAGGCCATGGTAACTCCGGACCCGACCGTTCCCGTGAAGGGCGGTAAATTTACTGCTGGTACCCTGGCATCACATCAACCCCTTGGCTTCTGAAATTTCATATCAGCCACACCACTTATCGAACGATTGTGCGACCTGGATATTCAATACTCCACAGCCCCCTTTCTCACATCGGAGGACTGGCCGGGCGCAGCGACGTTCGAGAAACCCCTAGGCCACATTGGTTTTGACTATTGACCAAAGTCACTGCGGTCGCGCTGGGCAACCTCGTCCGTGCCGCTGACATCCCTTTTGGGCGTCAGCATCAGAAGGACGAGCATTCTATCTTGACGAAGATTTCCAGCACGTGCGACCGCAGGCTTAGACGGGCAGGCTCCCGGGCCTGCTCGTCTACAATGGCTATATTGACCAATTGTCCCCCTGATCATCGATCATACCATTTTTCTCCTACGCCCAAATCACGACGATATTTCCCATTCCCTTACTCTTCTTCTCTTGAGATACTACATCCGGAGCCTGATTTTTCCCAACCATCTTGCACTTAATATGGGTTACAACCGGGATGTTCGCTTCATTGTACGGCACCTATGGTCACAACGATATCTTCTATCCTTCTCCTTTCTCAATCTTTCTCAATTTTTATTTCTAATATGTTGAACCGCCAAATGACACATGTACGAGAGACATGGGAGTCATGGATCCAGCCATTTTCTTTTCCTATTTACTTTTGCATGTCCTGGCAGGATCGCCAGTTCGATCTTTTTCCTTATATACCTGACCGCCTTTTTTCAAGGGTCGATTTCCTTTTCTACGAGTGTGCTTGCACCTTTCAATACCAACATTTTATTATTCAATATTTTCCCTACTTTGTATTCCATAAAAATACCATATTAGTTTGATTAGGATGTGCAATCTTCCCCGCGCTCTCCCTAGCGCCTCTGGTGGACCCGAACAGAGTTTTTGCCCCTGGCGACATCACACATCATCACACATACAATAATCCTGTTAACTCTCCCCCGTACTCCATAGGGGATGTCATTGTACGTACAATGTACATACTATGTACCTGGAATGGAGAAATCAGACCTGATATCATCTTGATTCTACACTATTCCTGCTTCGTATAAGGCGAAACACGTGTTATATTTATAGAATGTACTAGTCTTTATAGGCTCCTCTCAGTGGGTCCAGGGTCTCACTTGGAATGTCCAGGGTGGAGAGTATAGGGGATAAGAAAAAGTCGAGAATTTTAATTATGTATGTACTTTGGATGTTGTATGTAGCAAGGAGTAGCATTGATGTTATTATCACGTCGGGATTACGGAATATACATACCTGGGACGTACAGAAATAAGTAGAGGCCCGAGTATATATCGACGATACTCCGATCCTAATATGTAGATCTGCAACGGTGTCCTTCAACATACTCCGAAGTGATACCGAAACATTGCAACACCAAAAAACAAGGAGAAAGTGACCACCTTATGTTGTAAAACATAGATCGTCTATCAACCAGACGATCATTGCAACATGCAAAAAAAAAAAAAAAATTAATCACGCCATTGCGGATCTTGAATGAGCATACTCTGTACTCTGGTATCTCTCTCACACCGCTGATATCCAGCAGTCGATGCCCCTCCGCCGAAGATCCACCCCTATACGATCCAATTCATGCAAATAATAACACTGACCTTGAAGTCTCAACTCCCAGCTCCCCCGAGACCCAGAAGCCACAGCCGTAGCCGTAGCCGTAGTTGCAGCAGTCGAATTGTAAACCCCAACAGAAGAAAACGAAGAATCAGATCCCAAACTCTTACAAGAGTCCTCATCCGAACTGAACCCATCACTAACCCCAAGCTCCACATCTACATCCACATCCACATCCACATCATCTTTCTTGCCACCACTATCCCGATCCCAACCCCTTCTCAACCCAGACCCAGACCTTACAACAACCCCGCTCAAAGGCCCCAAAAACCCCGCCAATTTCTCAACAGGCTCGCTGAACCAATTGCTCTCAAGCACGAGCACGAATGACCGCAAGGACCGCAGCTGCGAGACCGCCCGGCACGTCTCTGTCCACTGTGGCCGCCCGGCCGAAACGTACACCGCGCGCACGGAGTCTTTGCTCGGGAGCCAGTGGCCTGGGAAGGACCAGCGTAGCTCGATCGTGCGGATGCGGTCGCGGTGGGAGGGTGGGATTGTTGGGAGGAAATATGGGAGGGTCCAGGGGTTACTGAATTCCAGGGTTGGGAGGGTGTAGAGGAGGGGGATTGATTCGTGGTATCTGGGATTTTTTGTTGTATTAGTATTGGGAGTCGGGGATTGTGGGTTTGGATGTGTCGTGTAGTTCTTTTCTCTGAGAATGAGAAGAGGTAGAAGTAAAAGGTTTGTGGATGTACATCGTACAATGAACATGAACATCGTATGCACATGTGTTACAGTAGAAGTATAGGGGCAGAGGTGTAAGGAAAGGATAAATGATTCAACCATACATCTGCCGACAAGTCAACGCCAGACCCAGTAGCTTAACCTTATTCCAGCGGAGGAGATCGGCCTCTTTGGCCGGCTGGGAAATGCCCGTGCCATGGCAGATCTCACATAAATGGCTGTTCTGTGTGTGGCGTGTGTGGCGTTTTGGCGATGAAGACCCAGGCACGAGCGCACAGGGACACACCACGTGTCCGAGTCGCTGCTTGTTGCATTGGATTATGTGGATTCTTTGGTCGGCCAGGACGAATTCCCAGATCATTAACCGAAGCTCCGGTGATAGCCGGGTGAGGAGTCGGCTTTGGGGTTGAGGTGAGGGGATTGCTATTGTTTGGTGGCGGGGGAGAGAGGGGGGTTTGTTGCCTGTTTTTAAAGTCTGTTAGATTTGTATACCCAAGAAATAAAAGAAAGAGGAAAATAAGCAAAAGAAGTTATTTACTTACTCTGGTACCGCTGGAGCAGCACATCCTCCCATGAGAAGACCCCTTGTTTCATACGGGCCATTGTTGATAATTACTCTGTTCGTCCCCGCTAAAATCGAAAATAAAGAGACATTGACATTGACAGCGAGATCGGTCCATAAATAGTGTCACAAGATCTGCAACTACACCTGATGACCCTATCGGGCACGATACGTTCCCGCCAATCCGAACGGGCAGCGCCAAGTGGTCTGGTTCAGGACTGGCGTAAAGAGTCGGTGAGGGTAAAGATAAAGGGCTACGGAATATAGGTTGAGGTATTTATGTGGCTAGATGTTTCTGGTATATCAGAGTTCAAAAAAAGATAAGGAAATGCGGAAGATAATAACTCGGGCTATTTGTAGATCGTTTTTTTAGCCGAATCTTGATCTATACTCCATAGGTCCACTCTATCTTCTCTAAACTCAATTTCATTCAACAGTAGCAACTAGCTTATAAACATTCATTGAAACCATTCCCCTTTCAAGTTCTAACTTGTATTGCTTAGATACCTCTATATAGTATCTTCTGCCGGCTGAGGTTTTCCCATCTAGGCTACCGCTTTTATAAGGACTTTCAGGGCCAGGCTCAAAACATACTATGAAAACACGCGAAAAATAAATAAACAAATAAATCAACAAATGCAAGACTTACCCCACACAAGCAGCAGCAAGACGAGCAGAAAGATTTGAGACGGGGCTTGAGTGGTCCGCCTCGCTATAGCTAGGACGGGGAGCGCTCTCGGAGTTCTCTTCGGAAAGTTCTTGGATAATCCTTATATCAGACTTGGAAGGGTCAGGCTTAGAAGGTGACGCTTCCTGTGATGGGGCCACATCTGATCGTCGAGGTGTACTCTTTTTTGGAGTCGGCGTTGGGGGCTTGAAATCCATAGCAGGAGATGGTAACGCAACGGTCCTGGACTTGAAACGACCATTCTCGTCGTAGGGTCTCTTCTCGGCTTTGGTGAATTTCACCCATTTGTTGAAACTTTTTACCAGCTTTTCTTGTTTGACTTGGAGCCATTCCTTATGACTCCTATCGCATCGTTTGCATTTTTCTTTGAGTTTGTAATGCTTCAGGGAGAATTCGGCGATGATAAGTTGCTCAATGCGATGGGCATAGGATATGTATTCTTTCTTCAATACGCAAAACTCTTCATAGCACCGTTTGTGGTTGCTAAAACGCGCCTCGAGGTCTATGGTGTGTCCGACTTTGAACATTTTTGGTTCTCGGGGGTGAGAGATGAGATAGATGAACCCATCTTTTTTGTCGTGTTCTGTGAGGGGCTTGAGCAATTCACGAGTCACATTAAGCTGCACATCGTATTTGTCAATAGGTGCTTGCTTGGAATTGCAGAGTTCGAACTCTGTTGCTGGCGGTGGAGTAGAATTGATTGAGTCTTCCTCCAAGGACTCGAAAAGATAGGGCTGCATCTTGCAACGCAGTTGGTGTCTCTTTTCATCGTTGTACAGCTCCTTTAACCACTGGCTCTTTGCGTCGTCGGAATTTTGGCGGTGCCGACGTCGGCAAAGGCATCTGTCGATCAATTCCGTGAGGACCTCATCGAATACACCATCTTTGTCATGAAACTTGCGGTCAGGTTCGTTAAGGATGGCAAATAATTGCCTAAAATATCCTTTCACAGATTCAAGGTTGGCTCCTGCAATTTTGTTGGAGCAGGGGTCCGCGCCGTCTTTGAGCTGGACACATCTGAGTATCGGTCCATATGCTATCTCCAGTAAGCTTGAGAGATGAATGAACACGTTGGCCGGTGACTCCATAGCAGATTGCATCATCCTAACAGTATACGAGAGGCGAGAGCGAAAATTAATCAGGAGTACCTTGGAAGTTCAGTGTGAAATAAAACCCAGGACACTCTTAACCGACCTGGGGAGGGGCTGTTTAACCCCAAGATCAAAGGCCTTGAGAGTCCATATGGCCCCCTCTTTTTAGCCCATCTAATTGAGCTAGTTCCTAGTCCGGGCCTACTCTCCATAATGCATCGGATAATGGGCAATCGGCGTAGGCAGCGTTGAACTGTTAAATTACTTTCCTATTCTTGCCTTGGCCGACAGGGGGTTATCCGGGCGTTCCTGAGATGATCTCACGCCAGACGGAGATGATTGGAGAATCTCGCGTGAAATTAGGGACTTTTGCGATTTGGAGGACCGTGACAGAGAACCGCGTGCATTAGTGTTGACGGGGATACGCAGCCATTCCATCAAAGCTCCGTTCCTCGAGGTCGAGGTCGAGTGTTAGGCTGACCCAAGCCACACCCCCCGATGGCGCAGTAAGTTCAAAGGCATACTCCGTACAACATACGAAGTAGCTTGCAAAGATGTAAGAAGATTGATGCCTGCAAGGCGGATGGAAGTCAGGGGCTGTGTGTGCTAGGTACCGACATTGGACGAGAACGATGTTTGGGGGCCAAAAATTCAAGTCACTGGGATGGTGGAATTGCCCCTGTATCTATTTAGCGCAATGCTTGCATCTTCAAACGATACTCCGTACCTCGCTAGGTTGTAGCCGGTAGCCGATAACTTTGCGTAAATTAAATACTCAACAATGAGATAATAATACATGATTTAAAGAAGAAGGACGGTAAAATAAAATACCATTGCTAGCGTGGCTAGTGGGTTGTGTCTTATTGATTGATGTTCTATAGGTAATCTCACACTCGGATCAAGTGAGCCAACCAAGGTACTCACTTGACACTGTGTAATCTGTACATAGGTCGCAGACCTCAAGCAATAACCAACTGAACCTCCAGAGCCAGGGAACAGCCGTGGCAGGTATCATGCCCCACCCGATACTAATGACCCAGAGTGTTAATCTGGGGCGTCACCATCAACCCTTCCGTCAGCATACTCAACCCAGCCGGCTGTAACTGGTCAATAGTGTCCTCCGCTGACAGAGTGCCCACATAAGCATTGAAGTTGTAAATGCCGCAGACGCACGTGTCGACAACATCCTTCAAGCTGGTCCCGGACAAAGCCTTAACCGTCTGGAAGCCGCGGGTGACCTTGAAACTCTGCGCGCCCACGCCCATCGGCACCGAGTGTGACCAGATCCCTGGAGGCGCGATCCAAGTCTCAGTCTTATCACCAGACTGCACCTTCACCACCGCGGGCAACTTCAGCATCGTGACGACAAACACCTCGTCTTTCATTGTGTCAGCGCCGTCCGGACGGCCGCGGAAGAAGTTGCCGTTGTCGTTGTTGCTACTGCCTCGCATTGTATTGTCGGTTGCGTCGCAGTCGACGCTCTTCATAGTTGGCCGGTACCAGTAAACTAGCTTTTCTTCCTTTATGAATCTGATGGGAAGTCTCGACTCTGCTTTGTAGGCGGCGATGAAAGGCTTTGCCATGTCAAGCCAGCCGTTGTGGGGCCTGTTTTTCTGTTAGTTGGTGTCTCTGTTAATTTGCTAGGGCAGGTCATCTGTACTTACATGTCCATCGCCCACTTCGAGGCACCGTCGTCTGTGTGTGGTGACGATAACGGGCCGATATAGTGCGACTCGCCATAGTCATTCCAGGTAATGATCTCCACAAAGCGAGGACTGAGACGGAGGATCTCATTCCATCGGTCATACCAGAGGAGGTCGGAAGGGAACACCCAGTTCTTGCTGTAAGAGACCTCGGGGCCGTAATGGGTCGAGAACCAAGGCGAGACAGCTATTTATCAATTAGCAAATATGCACAGAATAACAAACTTGCTTCGGCTACTCACGCGCAATGTATGCTTTTCCCTGAAGAGCATCCATATAAGTCTTATCGCTGTCTGCAACAGTGACATTATGCTCAGCAGTCGGAGCCTTGTTATTTCCATCATTGTCCCAACCCATCCAGTTCAGAGCGCCATCGATCTTATCGAAATCGCTCTGGCCGGGTTGGAAATTCGGTGCAAAGAAGATCTCTCTGCCAGCAGCAGATCTGATCGCATCAACATCGACGCCGTTGCCCGAAAAGGACGATACAAAGACCTTCCCGTCGACCATGAGCTGCGCGGGATGATTCGCATACTGCGCGATCTTGGCGCCGACTTCACTGGCCTGGCTGGCCTGCCACCAGTTGAAGTCGAAGGAGATAAACACTTTCATGCCATTGTTGGCGGCAGATTCATAGGCATAGTTCAGTTGAGTGTCGCCGTAAGAGTCGGTGCCAATATTCAACGCAAAGGCGTCAATACCGGCATCTTTGGCACGTTTCATATCATTGTCATAGTCAGAGGCGGTGTCGCGGTTGCTGACGATGCCCATCTAGATACTGTTAGTGGTTTTCATGTTGAGGGGTTAGAAAATACAATAGAAATGTGTAAATTACCATAAAATGACAGAAAACTAATTTGTTTCCGACGTTTTCATCGGTAGAAGACATTCTGGTAACGTAGTCGACTGGAGTCGGGAGAGCGAATGTGAAAGAAAATAGGCCAACCAGGGCCACGAAGAAGAAGAAGAACATGGTCTTTAAGCGGTGAAGAATCCAAGAACCAGCCAAGGAATATCTCCACTAAGCGAAGTTGGAATATGAATATAAAAGGAATGAAAGATCCAGCTTAATGAGTGACTGGACGGGTGAGAAATGAAAGATTGTATAAAGGTAGGACATGAGACTGGAGTTAAAGAAGTATTATATACATTGAGCGCTTTGTTTTACAATTTCCACATTGTCTACACCCAGGTCCACTCTTTGTATGTATGTAGGGACAATAGATCAATCAGACAAGGAAGCCCTAGAGTGGGCTGCTGCCTTTCAAGAAAAAGTACATGTAATCTTGTTAATGGTCCGACTGTAGTGCCTGTCAGACAAGGGTCCTCGGCGCTTCCAAAGATTCCGACGGGACCAGAAAGCCGAAAGATGCCTCTCTGTGGTCTGGTTAGTTGAAATATAATTGAACCTAGGGTAGAGGCTGACAGGGTAAGGTATCTAATATCCCCGTAGGGCTGCCGGATTGGTCGAAAGAACGCCTCCATCAGCCCAGCGGCTAATTTCAGGAGGTGTTTCACGTTTGACATTTGGGGATAACAAGGAATATCTTGATTAGCGTTCGGAGATATTCCGACAGATCTCATCTGAAATATCATATACAATTTAAGAGATCAGGGGCTCATTTAAGCCTTGGATGCACCAGGTGGTGTATCCCCAAGTGCAACCATCGACCATGGGGTGCTTCGGCGTCAATATGTTGCAACACCAGACCTAGAACTTGGAAAAGAATCTTTCATATCATCGTCATAGTCATAAAGACGTTATTCAATCTAAGATCTGCTTTGTGTCCACACTGGTGATTTAAATGAGCGCTACGGAGCACAGTCCATCACGTTCATGGCTCCGGGTGGACATGCAATCTTAAATGTTATATTAAACAAGCCATAACTAGTTACCTAGCTAATTTTTAGTTCAGGTACTCATGACTCGTTGATTCTAGTCTTACCTTAGCGATGGACTATCTTAAAGCACAGAAAATGCAGAGACATAGCTCACCGAGCTGTCGTCAATCTCCTGTACATCCGAGCTACGCTCGTACCGCAGGAAGTAAAAGCGTCCTTCCTGGTCGGCTGCTTGACTTGCCGTGACAATTTCCAGGGCTGCCATGATTACGCCGATCGGATGACGCCCGCATACTGTGTTACCCGTGCGTTCAATAATATTGAGGAAAGACTTTGCAGATCCCGTCGTGATGGCAGCCATGGTAGCCATGTCAAATGCTGAGATACTCTCGTGAATGGCAGGTTCACGGCTTGAGATGCGATCGCGTTGCCGCAAGGAGTGACCAGCTGAGACCAGTTCAAGAGCCTGATCAACGCTGCTTGCATCCATTCCGGGCTGCGGAAGTATATCACCAGACAATGGGAGTTGTGGCCCTGGCCTGGGGGCCTGTGGGGCATAGTATGTGTAGCGGAATCGGAGGCCCCAGTGGCAGAAATCCGAACTTATCACAAAGGCGTTTTCCGGGTCCGCTAGATAGGGGGCTAGGAGGGCCCCAAATGCCTGCTCTGTCGAGGCCGAGGTATTTCCGACCATGATTGGGACTAGAGGTGGGTATTCAGAGGCTGGAGAATCTGGATATTGGAGTTGGAGCAAGCGATGGATGTAGGGAAGGTGCATCTCGATGCTGTGCTCGTCTTCATCAACCGAACGTGACATGGTCGTGAAGCTAATCTTTGTCCCGTTTAATTTGGTTGCCTGGGTTTCGAGAAGCTGGGTAATCAGCTCGGTGTCTAGTGGGAGGGGTTCATCGGATAGAGGGGTACGGTAGGAAGTTAGGGTTGGAAGAGCCAGTGTTGTGAGCGAGACATGGTGTGATGGTCCCAGAATAAAGATTCGCTTCCTATTTATGAAGTTAGAACAGTCTCATAAAAGAAGCGGGAGATAAGCTTACGCTTTGGAGAGATCCAGCGCCTTGTATGCGTAGGCTGCGCAAGGCCCCGAGTATGCATAACCCGCATGTCTGGTTGATTAGTACGCTTGGTTCTGGATAACATCGTATGTATGATGAGGGTCTCAGACATACGGTGCAATGATCACTCTGGCTCCTGGAGTTGGCAGCGAGCCGACCTTCTCCATCGTATCTGGCACCTGCGCCAGCCAACCATCCAGCTGACGGGCCAGTGTGCGGGCACTATCTGAGTACCATGATCCAGAGTGAGAGGCCTGTCGAGATGGCATGGTAGAGTTTGAAGTAATTGATTGTTGTCAGGGTAGAATGTGAGAATGTGGTTCTGCCCTACAAGCTGAAGCTCTCTAATTGAGGAGAAGTGGGGGAGCGGGGGATCCCGAACGCCCAAGCTGGCGCG